CAGTCGTGGAACCTAGGCTACACTCTCTCATGTAACGTAGGTGGGTTGGGGTTAGGGCCAGTTCTAGATGTTTTCGGGTGGTTAAAAGCATCAGAAAGCCGGGAAACCCAGTCCTACTACCCTCGAAAATGTTGGTCTGTCTTGTGACGTCATCTGGGGGTAGGATTAAGCAGCATTTTTCTGTTGTGATGAAAGATGGCAGCGACGATTACGGCCGTGAAATGCACGCGTCGCCACTGGCCACTAGTGGCGCTGTTTCTACTGTTGCTGCTGAGCTGAGTAGAAGTAAGAACCGACATCTCAGCACTCAGGATATTCCCATAAGTGCTCTGTCTCCGTCTTCAGCATTCAGTGCAGGGTTCCAATTCCGATGGTACTAGTATCAGTCTGTTTGTCCGTCTTGCCCTTCCTCTGAGGGTTGAAAGTTGACCAGATCCCTAAGTCACTCATTGTCTGCTTCAGACCGTGATGGAATATTTGTGCTTCCACTGTCGATGCTCTTCATTTACAATTCTTTCCCGTGTGGGTTCCTGGGTACCATTGTACGATGGGGTTGGAAAAGGGAGGAGAGGGGGGGGGGGGGTTCCCCACTGCTTCTCTAACAGAAAAATCGAACTAATTTTGGGTGGGGGGGGGGGGGGGGGGGTTTCTTCGGAGTGCATCTGCCTGAGAGGCAAGTAACCAGCAGTCTGCATACAAATAAGCCACATTTATCAAACGGATGTGCACACGAAACTCAAGTTCCTGAACAAAACTAAAGTCCCGATGTGGATGAACAACCAAAACTTCCCGGTGGAGTTTACAGCCGTTTAACATTAAGAAGAAGAAGATTAAAAAGAAGTCCCCACACTTAGAAGCACCTAAACGCCAGGGTCTGTCTGTCTGTCTGTCTGTCTGTCTGTCTGTCTGTCTGTCTGTCTGTCTGTCTGTCTGTCTGTCTGTCTGTCTGTCTGTCTGTCTGTATGTCTGTCTGTCTGTCTGTCTGTCTGTCTGTCTGTCTGTCTGTCTGTCTGTCTGTCTGTCTGTCTGTCTGTCTGTCTGTCTGTCTGTCTGTCTACCCCTCCCCACCCCCACCCCACACTACCCAGAAAGTTTATCAATGGGCAAGACACCCCTTCCCAATCTTTATTACATATGTCTTTGAAGTCCGTACATGGCATAGGCGTTGCGAGTCCGACTCGTAACTCCAACGTACCGCGATCAAAACCCACTTCTGGCTGCGTGGATTTTTGTCGTGGTATGGAGCGTCGCAGGTCGACCCAGCCTAAAATGGGTACCATGATGGCTGTTCTGGGGAAATAAAGACGGTCGGCGTAATACTGACCACATTGGTATGTAAAAATATGGGATGCTCCTCCCATATACCCGATATGCCTAAGGCATAGACAGGGATCTTGACTTACTTTGAAGTTGGGATGAGGACCGCTTACAACTTTAGAAACTGTTTATCGTGGCTGTGCACCCCCCCCCCCCCACCCCACCCCACCCCACACTCATAGACACAATGGGGGGGGGGGGTTGGGGGGGGGGGTTGCCTGATTCTCTAAGTTCCAGCGCCTCTGTGCCTAAACAACGCCCCAACGCAACAGTGAACAAGCAGTGCAGATAAGGCGCCCTAGAATCATCAGTGCACGCGCACGATAACGAGAGAATGAGAGACATCGCTTTTAAAAAAAAAACTGCCCATCAGCAGTAATGAATGAGTTTATCGATATAGATCTTGTCTCCGCTGATTTCTGGACTATGTTGCAGCCATCGTGACTTCTGCACGAAACAGGAAAATTAATTGGTTTTGTTCCAGACAAGATTTTGTTGTTGTTGCGCGTCTGTGCTGTTTCTGAGTGTGCTAGTGTGTGGAGAGGGTGAAGCAGT